CTCACCAGCCTCGGGTGAGCGTGGCGTGGCGCAGCGTGGCGGGGGCGAGGCGTCGCCCAGCATATGGCAAGGCCTCCGCGGCCTCGATCGGTGTCGACAGGCTGCCGTGCCAGGCAGCGCCGATGGCGCAGGAGGCGAGCAGCCTCTCGAGGGGCATCCCCCCTGGGGGCGTACTGCCACGGGGCGGTCCTGGCCCTTTTGCTGCCTGGTCTCTCGCTCCGCCGGAGCAGCTCCGGCGGAGCTCTTGCTTCGCCGTCGAAGGTGGTCTTAGATGACCGTTGATGTGATCTTGGTCGGGAAATGGGGGCTGCGACACTGTGAGCTCGGCGGTGGCCTGGGCGTCGGCTGCAGTCTGGAGGTTGCAGCAAGCCTTCGATCCATGTAACGGTTCCCCTTTTGTTCGTTTTCGTGCACGCTCGCATTCTTCTGCCCTTGGCTTGGGATTGCATGGGAGTTGCTCAATCACGGTCGACTGAAGTTCGACTGAAGTTTGACTAGCGCTTAGTTGCTGGGTGGCCAATGGTTTGTGTTGTGGTTGATGTCGGAACAGTCGTGCGTTTTCGTGTGTGTGTGTGTGTGTGCGTGCGTGCGTGCATGCGTGCGTGTGTGCGTGCGTGTGTGTGTGTGTGCGTGTGTGTGTGTTTGTGTGTGTGCGTGAGTGTGCGTGTGCGTGTGCGTGTGAGGGTGCGGGTGCGGGTGCGGGTGTGCGTGTGTGCGCGTGCGCGTGTGTGCGTGTGCGTGTGCGTGCGCGTGCGTGTGTGTGTGTGTGTGTGTGTTGTGTGTGTGTCTGTCTGTCTGTCTGTCTGTCTGTCTGTCTGTCTATCTGTCTGTCAGTCTGTCTGTCTGTCTGTCTGTCTGTCTGTCTGTCTGTCTGTCTGTCTGTCTGTCTGTCTGTCTGTCTGTCTGTCTGTCTGTCTGTCTATCTGTCTGTCTGTCTGTCTGTCTGTCTGTCCGTGTGTCTGTCAATGTGCGTGTGTGTATTTTCGTGCATATATGTGTGTGTTTGTGTGGGCTCGTGTTGTGCTGCGCGGCGCGCCTGGGCGGGACAGTGCCGGGCTGGCTTCTGCGTGTCCTAATGGCGGCGGTTGCCCCCGCGGGCCGGCGCCTGCACGGCTCCCTACCCGCTTCGCACCCATACAGCTGCGCCGCGGGCAGGTTTTGCGCCAGCTTTCTCATTCTGCATCACTTTGCCTGTCGGGCCTCGCCTCTGCTTCTGTGCCCCTCCTTCGCGCGGGCTACCCTCGCGTCGCACGCTTGCAGCTGGGCGGTTGGGCGGCATGAATCTGCTCGCTCTCTCGCGACTTCCTGCACTCAGTGGTGCCCGGACTGCCCTCCCGTCGCACACCCGTACAGCCGGGCCGCGGGGCAAGGGCTTGTGCGCGCCTCTCTATGCTCTTGCATCGCTGTGCTGGCTGCGTCCTGCGCGCCCCCGCACCCGCATGGCCTCATCGGCGCTTTCCACGTGCACTCGCGGCCTCGCGTTTTTTCCGTATGCGTACGCTGTCATCCAGCCCTCCTCCTCCTCCTCCTCCTCCTCCTCCTCCTCCTCCTCCTCCTCCTCCTCCTCCTCCCTCCTGCCTCCCCCTCCCCTCCTCCTCCTCCCCTCGTTTACTCCTCGCCCCTCCTCCCTCCCCTCCTCCTCCTCCTCCGTGCCTCCCCTCCTCCTCCTAACCTCCCCTCCTCCTCTCCTCCTCCTCCTCCTCCTCCTCCCCCCCTCCTCCTCCTCCCTCCTCCCTCCTCCCTCCTCCCTCTGCAGCGCCGGGTGGCAGTTGAACGAAGCGTGTCCCGCCCTGGTGCTCGCGACGGTGCTGCCACCTCGCCGCTGGCAAGTGTGTGTGTGTATGTGTGTGTGTGCGTGTTGCCGAATTTTGCGGGCAACCATGGCGCGCATCAAGAAACCATGTGCTTTTCGTCAGGGAATCCTGGGTTTCTCTTCTCCCCGCGCCGCGCGGTGACTTCCCGCAGCCGTTGAAAGAGCTGCTGCGTTAAGGATGATCCGGGGTTCCCCTCAGGTGCACCTCGCGCACAGGTTCTCAGGGTTGGGTTTCTTGCGAGAATTTCTTGCGGCCGCCCCCAGCCCTCCTCCTCCTCCTCCTCCTCCTCCTCCCCTCCCTCCTCCTCCTCCTCCTCCTCCTCCTCTCCTCCTCCCCCTCCTCGTCGTCCTCCTCCGCCTCCTCCTCCCTCTCCTCCTCCTTCCTCCGTCCTCCTCGTCCCCTACTCCTCCTCCTCCTCCTCCCTCCTCCTCTCCTCCTCCTCCTCCTTCTCCCTCCTCCTCCTCCTCCCTCCATCCTTCTCCTCCTCCTCCTCCTCCTCCTCCTCCTCCTCATCTCCCTCCGCCTCGTCCCCCTCCTCCTCCTCATCCTCCTCCTCCTCCTCCTCCGCTCCTCCTTCTCCCTCCTCCTCCTCCTTTTTCTTTCTTCCTCCTCCTCCTCCCTCCTCCTCCGCCTCCTCCTCTTCCTCCTCCTCCGCCACCTCCCTCCTCCTCCTCCTCCTCCCACCTCCTCCTCCTCCTCCTCCTCCTCCTCCTCCTCCGCATCCTCATCCGTCCGCCTCCTCCTCCTCCCCCGCTCGACCCCCTTTCCCTCCTCCTGGCCCATCACTCCTCGCTCCATCTCCCCTCCTCCTCCTCCTCCGCCTCCCTCCTCCTCCTCCTCCTCTTCCTCCTCCTCCTCCTACCTCCTCCTCCTCCTCCTCCTCCTCCTCTCCTCCTCTTCCTGCTTTCCCCCCTCCTCCTCCCTGCTTTCCTCCTCCTCCTCCTCCTACTCCTCCTCCTCCTCCTCCTCCTCCTCCTCCTCCTCCCTCCTCTTCCTCTCGCTCACTGTTCGGCATACTCGAACTCGTTGGCTCGCGCTGCCCTGCCGGCTGTCGCACTGCCCCTCCGAGGCGCTTGTCGATGGCGGCGGCGGCGGCGATGTCGAGGACATGGCGTGCCCCACCTTACGACGCTCCAGCCATCCTCCTCCCGCTCCCCTCCCTCCCCCCCCATCCCCGCTCGCCCGCCCTCCTCGGACCAGGACGCATGCGTGCGTAAAGCGCGCGCGCGGCGCATACGCGCGCGTGTCTGAACGGCTGCACCCTCTACCGCGGACCTCCCCCCAGGTGGAGCCATAGTGCGTAGGCAGAGTATTTGGACCGCTGGCATCGCCGGGCCCCCGCGGGCCCGTCGGGGGCACCCTGGGGCCTGCAGGGGCGACGGTTCTGGGCAGGCCTTGTGCAACCTTGCCCTCCTCCAGCCTTCGCCATCCTGCACCCCTTCCTCCGTCTCGCCTTTCCTGGCCAGGGGAGGCGGTGCATGAGTGGGTTTTGCCTCCCCCCATGTCGTCAAACATGTCGCTTAGCGCACTGTCTGGCGTACCCAGTGTTTGTTGGTTTCGCATTTTCTCTTGCTGTCTTCTCCCCTCCTCGTCCCCTCCTCTTGTGTTTTCGCGCGCTCCTGTTTGTGCCCCGTCTTCTTTTATCGTTTCCGGTTGCACATCCTCATGTTCCTCCTCCTTCTTCTGCTCCTCCCTCTTCCTCTCTCTCCTTTTTTCTTCAGTCCAGCTGCGCTCTCGTGCCAAACCCTGTCGTCCTGAGGGTACTACACGCATCCGAAGTGAGTATGTGTGTAGATTTCTTCGCGACAAGGCCCCACAACTTGAGCTGCTACGGAGTCTACATGGTTGGATGCTGGTTCGTACATGTTCCGTTGTCCGATTCATCCCATTATTTTCTCCTCCTCATCCTCCTTGTCCCCCCCCACCCATGGCCCTCACATGCAAAGACGAGGTTTACTTTTGACGCGTTGAGGTCTAAGGTGAGGAGGTGGGGAAGGAGCAAGATTGGGAGAGCGTAGGATGAGGAGAGGGATGATGATGATGCTGATGATGATGCTGATGATGGTGGTGGTGATGATGATACTGATGATGATGGTGGTGATGATGATGTGATGATGACCACGCTGCTGATGCTGCTCCTGATGATGATGATGCAGATGATTATGATGTTGATCATGGTGATGTTTATGATGATGATGTTGATGATGTTGATTGCGATGATGGTGGTAGTGGTGATGCTGATGCTGATGATGATGCTGATGAGGATGATGGTGGTGATGATGATGGGCATGCTGATGATGATTTGGATGTTGATGGTGGTGGTGCTGATAATGATGATGATGCTGATGCTGATGCTGATGCTGATGCTGCTGATGATGATGGTGGTAGTGGTTGTGCTGATGATGCTGATGACGATGGTGATGATGGTGATGATGAAAATGGTGGTGGTGATGATGATGACCATGCTGATGATGATGCTGATGATCATTATGATGCTGATGATGGTGATGCTTATGCTAATGCTGACGATTATGCTAATTATGATGATGGTGATGATGACAACGATGATGATTGTGATGATGGTGTTGATGCTGTTGCTCATGCTTCGGATCATGATGATGCTGATGCTGATGATGATTTTGATGATGGTGTTGATGATGACGCTGATGATGCTGATGATGTTGATGCTGATAGTGAGAATGAGTATCATTTTGATGTGATGATGGTGTCTGTGATAATGATAGGGGTTAATGGAGATGGTGACAGTGATGGTGATGATGAGGAGGAGATGGAGGAGGATGATGATATTGATGAGGATGATGATGCTGATGATGATAACGATGATGATGAGGATGATGATGATGCTGGTGCTGATGGTGATAATGATGAGGAGGATGAAGCTGCTGATGATGATGATGATGATGATGATGATGATGATGATGATGATGATGATGAGGAGGGTAATGAGGATGATGAAGGTGAAGATGTGACGAGGACGACGATGAGCATGAACATGCGCATGAATCTGATAATGAGGGTGATAATATATTGTTGGTGTTGGTGGTTATGATAGTGATGCTGCTGATGTTGATGATGATACTGCTATGCTGATGATCAGGACGGTGAGGAGGAGGATGGAAGTGATGAGCAGGATTAAAGAGGATGAGGAGATCAAGGCAGTGGTAGGGAAAGGGGAGGAGCGGAAGGACTTGTGGGCATCTGTGCTCAAGCATGTCTGGTTGCACGTGCTGACACACACTCGCCTTCTGGACGTGTGTCTGCCAGGTTGGATGCTTGGCGACTGAACGCGCTGCACATCCGTATTTTAAGATTAAGTCGGGCCTGTCCCCCTACAGGGGATTGTGGACGAAAAAATTGAAGTACTCCAGAAATGCCCCCCAAAAGGTCAAGAGCTACTCAAAACATCGTCCCCAGACAATTTTGGTTGTCTGTTTTTGAATATCCCCCCTGGTAGAAGGGGATCCAGCGCCCGCTCCAAACTCGGCGCCTCGACCAGGGGCGACCTCCTCCTCCTCCTCCTCCTCCTCCTCCTCCTCCTCCTCCTCCTCCTCCTCCTCCTCCTCCTCCCCTGGGTGAGCAGAATCCCCTGTGGAACAGGCCCGACTTCACACCAAGACTATGCTCGTGCCCCTCCCGATGGGCCGCCTCGCCCTCCTCGCGCTCCTGGCGGGGCCGCGGCCCTCCGCCGGCCTCCAGCAGGGCCCCGCGGCGGCGACGGAGGGCAGCTTCTCGCCGGCCGAGCAGGACCGGCGAGCCAAGGCCCTCGGGAGGGAAAAGATCAGAGGAGAGCAGGGCGAGACAGGGGTGACGTTTTTGCCTTTTTCGCCTCCGAGGGGCCTCCTCGTCGCCACGGCTGGACGCAGCGTGAAAAGTCAGTGCGTTTGGACCCCAGGAGGGGTCCGGGGACCGATTTGAGCCGATTTGGCCACCGTTGTCTCACGGCCGTTGTCTCACGTTGCCCTCCTCCGAAAAGAGCACACACAGACGCACAAGTTCATCGTCGACTCCCAGGATATACATATATATATATATATATATATAGATTGGGAAAGTTATGGGAAGGGGGGGGAAGACAAAAGCCCAGAAGACATGGGAAGAGATAGGGAATATGGTGATTTGTGTGTACACACAGACACAATGAGTCGTCGACTCCCAGGAGAATGTGGGGAAATATGGGAAGTGGGGGGAAAGCAAAAACCCAAAAGATATAGGAAAGTATGGGGAATCTGGTCATCTGTGTGTGCGTGTGTGTGTTTGTTTGTGTGTCCCAGGGCCCCTGCAAAGGCGGCGCAGACGCTGCTGACTGTGGACAACGACGTGGATCAGAGACCGAGGCACGTTGCCTGGCTCATCTCAGGCCAGATGTCTCGTTTCATCTACAAGGACGCAACCAGGTTCATTGACGGAGGTCTCCAGGCATGGTCGGGCTGCTTCGGGAAGGCGACGTGCTCCATGTCTGTCGACGTTCACATCGCCCTGGCAAACACGCACGTGCACCAGTTCCGAGGACCGAGGTACGAATTGCCCACCTATGGAGACGGAGCGTTTGTGGAGTCCGCCATCAAGGACCACTACCTCAATTTGCTTGAGTCTGAAAGCGAGCAGCTTGTATCGAGATCCGAGGTGGGACAGAAGGTCGCGATGATGAAGGACGAGTTCAAGAAATCTGGTGCTCGCGCAGTCCACGTCAAGATCGTCAGCGGCGAGCAGTTCGACGCAAACATCAAGAGGGTCCGCGAACTGATCTTAAAGAGGGCGAAGCGCACCATGGATCCGCCCATGAGTAACTTCGACGACTTCTGGAGCAATCTGCCGCGCCACGAGAAACGCTTCGAGCAGAACGGCAACATGATGTACCTGCGCCACCTATCCTACAGGTCCGCCGTGCTGGCCGAGCAGGCCCTCCCCTTCAAGTACACGCACGTCCTCTACACCCGCGAGGATAACGTCTTCGTGCACCCGTCCTACACGCTGCTCCAGCTCGCCCGGGACGTGGACGGCACCGCCGAGCCCTCGGAGTCCCCAGCGTCGGTCCTGGTGGACTCCCGCTGCGGCTGGCTCTACTACTCCGACAAGCTCTACTTCGCCTCCCGGCGGGGCATCGACATCCTGTTTGCGAGGAGCCTCGACGAGCACATCACCCAGATGGCAAAGTGGATCAACCTGGCACGGACGTCGCAGAGCGGGTCGGTGAGGCGCGCGGACCAGAAGGACCCCCTGATGACGGAGGAGTTCTTCAAGAGGCTGCTGGACGAGTCCCACGCCAAGGCTCGGCGTCACCCAAACATACTAATACTATGCGTGCGTCGTCCCCCCCGTGGCGACACAAGCACCGAGAAATCTTATAGTGTATACATCGTGGCGGGCGCGTTCTGGCCACACCGCTCGGGAAACGATATACTACAAGATGGTTCTACTACATGTTCGGGTCGGACGCACGCCGCCAAGGCGGACATCTAGTACTAGTATGCCCTTGTGCGTCCCAGAGGTCACCAAGTTCGACTTCCTCCGCACCGAGGCGCGATACAGAAACGGCTCCGACTCGCCGTGCATCCCGGAGATCTACAGGAAGTGCACCGCGGTCGGCGAGGTGTTCGAGACGTGCCCGGGTGACGGCATGGCCAGGTAGGCACGCCTCGTCGGGCTGCGGCCCGCCCCGGAGGGCCGGGCGGCCTCCGAGGAGCTCGCCGCAGGACGACAGGGCCCGGCTCCCTCCCGCGCTTCCCGCCTGGGCGTGCCGCCCTCTCCAAGCAGCCCTCCTCGATCAGAGGCGCGCTCGACCTCCCGAGCCCCCCTTTTGCTGCGCCTGCTTCGGGCCGAGCCCACGCTGCCGTGGAACAAATGTGGGCCTCCTCCACGGGCCCTGGGAGCCGGGCCGCCCGGCCAGCAGGGGTGCGGGGAGGAGGGAGGTTTGAGGACAGAGGGCGTTCAGGGCTGCCCGCGTCGGAAGACGCAGTCCGCCCCGAAACTGGGCTCTCAAGAGAGGGCTCTCGCCTTCGAGGGGCCGAAGGAGCTGGCACCTCTTCCCTGGCGGACGACCGGCGGAAGACGGCAGAGTGTTAGTTACGCGTTTCTGGTTTCAAGGTTCCCGGAGTCGGCCACACGTCACTTCGATGGCCAGCGTGGGCCTCGAGCAGTAGGATCTTGAACCCTCGGCCAAGAGGCGCGGAAGTTGCAAACATCAGGGGCAGCATGTGGTAGCAGCCGCAGAGCACCTCCCGTACAGCACCAGGGCAATACCTAGGAGGCCGCAGCCATCAAAGCCATCAAGAGTCACCAGCGGTGGAGCACCACCCGTCGAGCACCAGGGCAAGAACGCGGAAGCCGCAATCGTAAGCTCCGTCCCTCGCCAAACAAGAAACACCCCCTGGGTCCGAGCACTCCCCTGGGAGTGAGGACGGCAGGGGTCCTGCCGGAGGGGGCTCTCGAGCTTTTCGACGTCTCCTGGGTCTCGGGGCCTTTCTTGTTCCCCAGGGGCGTCAGAGCCAGCCTCGGAGGAAGCGCCAGAGTACAGTGAGCGGCTTGAGTAAGGAACACTTACTTTTCAAAAGGGGCTCGGTCGTTCCTTAGGTTAGCATGCGTTAGTTACAGTTCCTTGTGCGTTATTTGTTATTTATCGTTCCTTACGCGTTATTCCTTGGGATAAAAAAGGGGCTTCGTTTCTTATTTATCGTTCCTTAGGTCAACGCCCCGACCGTACAGGGACCCATTCATCTCGGGGCCAACTTTCCCTCGTGCGGCAATGGTCGTTCCGCCGCAGGCCGCAGCGAGAGCCCTGCGGCCAGAAGCAGGCGAGGCATCACAGACGACGAGAGGAGGAGGAGGAGGAGGAGGAGGAGGAGGAGGAGGAGGAGGAGGAGGAGGAGGAGGAGGAGGAGGCCTTCTTCTTCTCCTTCTCCTTCTTGCCGCCCCTCCAGCGCGCGCGCGCGCGGGGGAAGTGGAGAAGGGTCGTTTCCGTCCATACAGCATCGTTTGGAATCGCACGGTCGTTTTTGTTGTTGCTTCCCCACCTCTTTCCGATCAAGGGTTCCCGAAGGGTTTGAGGTGTATAAGCAGACCGACGCTGCAAGGTTGGCGGGTCAAACTGACCGATGCTTAGCCAGGCGACGCTGCAAGGTCGACGCTGCGAGACCGATCAGCGGGACTGACGCTGCAATCAATGAAACCGCCGCCGCCGCCGTCGTCGTCGTCGTCATCGTCGTCGTCTCGACGCCCTCGAAACATGAAAAGCTCAGCAGCCATCGCGCGGTATCCGCAGGCGCTACAGATGCTGGTGCGCATGCTGGAGGACGCCGTGCTTCCAGACACAGGAGAGAACGGTATTTCAGGGCCTGGCGATGGCCGGGGCTAAATGGGAGCGGGGGGTTCTCGAGTGGCGGTCTGGGGGCCGCCGCGTGGCACGATTGATTTCCAAAGATTCCGCAGCGCATCGCTGTCGGGGGATGGACAGAGAGAGAGAGCGAGAGAGAGGAAGCGATAGAGAGAGGGAGAGAGTGGGAGAGAGGGCCAGGGGAGAGAGGGAGAGCGGGGGAGGGAGGGCAGGAGGGGGAGTGGGAGGAGCAGGCGAGCGATGCAGCGACCGACAAGGCCAACCAACCGCCTTCTGGGAGGGGGCACAAAAAGCAACCCCGCTCGCGAAAGGGTCAGAGCGCTGAGCGCTGAGCGACCCCGGTCGGGAAAGGGTCAGAGTTTAGTTTGTTGCTTGGTTCCTATCCCTAAGCGATCCTCGCACGGGACAGTGCTGTGGCCACGCTGCTGGAGATCTGGAGGCCCACCAGCATAGCCGCCGAGTAAAAAAAGATCTGCCAACCCCCCCCCCCATGTTCGATTTTGTTTGTTTGTTTTGCCCACCCCCCCGAGGCTTCTAAAAGAAGGCTCGGGGGCCTTTCGAGACAACCTCGCGGCCTCTGGGGGGGCCTCTGCGAGTCCCTGGCACGCCCCAGAGCCCCAGGGGCAAGCCCCCGAGCGTCTGAGGGAGGGGCCAGCTGCTGGCGGGAGTGCCAGAGATCCGATGTCGTGATTTTGTCAATGCGCGGTCCCCGGAAGCCTCGACCCATTCCCCAGGACCGGTTTTTCATCCCGAGTCGTTCCTTGACGGTCCCGGGGCCCAGCGAGGGCCTCGAGGTCAAAATTGGCGAAAAACCTCCGTCTTGTTTTTTTCAAGACGTTGGATCTCTGGGGTTCCCCGCCGATTTCGGTAGTTCCCGGGCTCCCAGTTCCCGGTTCCCATGTTCCGGGCTCTGGGCCGAGCGGCTGGGTTCGCCCGGGTTCACGGGTGCTTTAAGTTCCTGGTTCTGGGGTTCCCTGCAGTGTAAGGGTCTGCTGGGGTACCAGGTTCCTGGTTCTGGGGTTCCCGGCAATGCTTAGTTCCCGGCTCCCGATGTCGGCGTCCCCGGCAGTGTAAGGTTTGGTGGGTCTCCAGTTTCCCAGTTCACGTTGCTGGGTGCCTGGCAGTGTAACGGTGGGACGACGAAATGTTGCAAGTTGCTCCTGGCCGCGTACGGCCGCGCCGACATTGCGACGCCACCTAAACAAAACGCCCCCGCCCCCTAAATTTCAATGTTGGCATCGAGCGAGCACCCCAAGTCCGGGAGGACAAAATAATGCAAGTCAACATTGAAATACGGGGGAAGGGGAGCTCCTCGGATATCGATGGAATATGATCAAAATTGTCATCTTGTTTCTCGGAACGATCATATAACTTGCGACATTTTGTCCGCCCACTGCGTTTGTCATCCCCCTGCAGGGTGAAGGCTGACGCGGAGGGCGGGGGACTCGGAGAACTGGGGGAAGGATGATGGCGAGGATGATCAAGGGTACAGGGTCGACGTTCGGTCGAAGGTCGACTGCCGAGCTTCGAACAGGGTGCGAGCCGGAGCCGGGCCGAGCCGCCACTGGACCGAAGGGTTCACGCCTCGCTGATGTCTGAGCTGGACCCAGCTGGTTCGAGTTGGGCTGACCTGGGCGCACCTGCGCAGGGCTGACCTGGACGGGACTGCAATATATTGAGCTCGGGTGGATTGGGCCGCGCAGACCTGAGCTGGGCTGCGCTGGGCTGCCTCCGCTGCGCAAGCAAACAGAACAATATATTGGGCTTCGCCTTCGCCCGGCGAGCAGCGCCGAGCCCGCGTCGCGCCTGGCCCGCGCCAGGCCGATCGTGGGCCGCGACGAGGACATGCGCGGCCCTCGCTGCGATCGCATCGCCAGGCGCACCCTTGGCTGCGCTGGGCACTGCCCAGGCTTTGTGCCGAACGTCGCCCGGTGCTGGCACGCGGCCGCGCAGCGGGGCAGGGCGCGCCAGGCGACGACGGGGTGGCGGGGCGCGCGCGGCGCCTGCATCTGGCCTATTTGAATACTCCCAGTACATTGGAATACTATGTGAATACCTATTTGAATACTTATTTGAATACCTATTTGAAAACCTCAGTTATATGGGGGGAACCGATTTGAAACTTGAAAGTAGATAGAAAGAAAATACATTCTTTTTAACTCTACTATTCGCGCGTAGCAAATGCAAATCCACATATAGCTGCAGTTTTCATATAGGTATTCAAATAGGTATTCAAATAGGTATTCAAATAGCACTGGAGTTTTCAAATGAGGCAAATGCAAGCGCGGCGGGCGCGGGGCCGCCCTGTCGCCGCCCGCTGCTCTGAGCAGGCCACGCGCCAGCATCGCCCAGGCAGAGCCTGCCGCGCCGAGCCCGCGCAAGTCCGCCGCGCGGCCCAGGGGCGGCCGCTCGCGCTCCAGGCGCAGCCCGAGCGCGGCCCTGGCGCCGGCCTGGAAATAGCTGACAGGAGGTCAACGTCACTCCGCACCAACTCATGCCCGTCGGGCGCCCACCGCGGATGAGCCGACAGGCCTCGGCTGAGCACGCCAGCGCTTAGATGGGCAAAAGGGCCCTGCGACAGGATGTTTACTCCGGGAAAGGCCATTGCGAGCGCGCGTCAAGATCGGCTGCCAGTCGGGAAAAATACAACTCAAGAAATTACACTCATACGGCTGGTGGGCGGCTGGCCCGAAGTCCCGGCGCCCCACCGCGGCGACTGGGCATGAACTTCGCATGTTCCCCGTGTCCTCGGCGGCGGGCCGCCAGCGGAAGGCCGCGTGTTCGCGGCGTCGGCAGCCGCGCGGGGCGCGCAGGGCATCGCTCCTCGAAGTCCTTCCCCTTTACGCGCTGGAGGGCCTTGCAGCGCCGGCCCATGGACTTCACCAGAGGAGTCAAGATGGCCTCGGGCACGCGCTGGAGAGCCCGCCTGAGGCGCGCCGCGAAATGGGCCCTGGCTTTCCTCTTACCAGGCGAGCACGAGGGCCTCCTGCTGCTTGCGGAGGCGGCGGTTGACGCAACCCCAGAAGCCGCAATTAAACGGGCTGATGTCTGGCGAGCGCCTCGGAAAAGGCAGCGCCTCGATGGAATAGATTGTCGAACTTGGTCCGCGCTGCGCTGCGCTCCTGCGCCCCGAAAGAGAGTCGCTGCCCCCCAGAACCGGGAAGCGCTTCTTGCTGGAGTACGCCCGGCGCAGCGCTGGCGACAAGGACTTCGAGTGCTGGGAACTGGGGCTGACGAGGTGCATGATTGTTAGATGCCGTGCACTTCGAGTCATAGAAAAGTATGTGCTTCCATCGCGTTTGTCATCCCCCTGCAGGGTGAAGGCTGACGCGGAGGGCGGGGGACTCGGAGAACTGGGGGAAGGATGATGGCGAGGATGATCAAGGGTACAGGGTCGACGTTCGGTCGAAGGTCGACTGCCGAGCTTCGAACAGGGTGCGAGCCGGAGCCGGGCCGAGCCGCCACTGGACCGAAGGGTTCACGCCTCGCTGATGTCTGAGCTGGACCCAGCTGGTTCGAGTTGGGCTGACCTGGGCGCACCTGCGCAGGGCTGACCTGGACGGGACTGCAATATATTGAGCTCGGGTGGATTGGGCCGCGCAGACCTGAGCTGGGCTGCGCTGGGCTGCCTCCGCTGCGCAAGCAAACAGAACAATATATTGGGCTTCGCCTTCGCCCGGCGAGCAGCGCCGAGCCCGCGTCGCGCCTGGCCCGCGCCAGGCCGATCGTGGGCCGCGACGAGGACATGCGCGGCCCTCGCTGCGATCGCATCGCCAGGCGCACCCTTGGCTGCGCTGGGCACTGCCCAGGCTTTGTGCCGAACGTCGCCCGGTGCTGGCACGCGGCCGCGCAGCGGGGCAGGGCGCGCCAGGCGACGACGGGGTGGCGGGGCGCGCGCGGCGCCTGCATCTGGCCTATTTGAATACTCCCAGTACATTGGAATACTATTTGAATACCTATTTGAATACTTATTTGAATACCTATTTGAAAACTTCAGTTATATGGGGGGAACCGATTTGAAACTTGAAAGTAGATAGAAAGAAGATACATTCTTTTTAACTCTACTATTCGCGCGTAGCAAATGCAAATCCACATACAGCTGCAGTTTTCATATAGGTATTCAAATAGGTATTCAAATAGGTATTCAAATAGCACTGGAGTTTTCAAATGAGGCAAATGCAAGCGCGGCGGGCGCGGGGCCGCCCTGTCGCCGCCCGCTGCTCTGAGCAGGCCACGCGCCAGCATCGCCCAGGCAGAGCCTGCCGCGCCGAGCCCGCGCAAGTCCGCCGCGCGGCCCAGGGGCGGCCGCTCGCGCTCCAGGCGCAGCCCGAGCGCGGCCCTGGCGCCGGCCTGGAAATAGCTGACAGGAGGTCAACGTCACTCCGCACCAACTCATGCCCGTCGGGCGCCCACCGCGGATGAGCCGACAGGCCTCGGCTGAGCACGCCAGCGCTTAGATGGGCAAAAGGGCCCTGCGACAGGATGTTTATTCTGGGAAGGCCATTGCGAGCGCGCGTCAAGATCGGCTGCCAGTCGGGAAAAATACAACTCAATAAATTACACTCATCTGGCTGGTGGGCGGCTGGCCCGAAGTCCCGGCGCCCCACCGCGGCGACTGGGCATGAACTTCGCATGTTCCCCGTGTCCTCGGCGGCGGGCCGCCGGCGGAAGGCCGCGTGTTCGCGGCGTCGGCAGCCGCGCGGGGCGCGCAGGGCATCGCTCCTCGAAGTCCTTCCCCTTTACGCGTTGGAGGGCCTTGCAGCGCCGGCCCATGGACTTCACCAGAGGAGTCAAGATGGCCTCGGGCACGCGCTGGAGAGCCCGCCTGAGGCGCGCCGCGAAATGGGCCCTGGCTTTCTCTTACCAGGCGAGCACGAGGGCCTCCTGCTGCTTGCGGAGGCGGCGGTTGACGCAACCCCAGAAGCCGCAATTAAACGGGCTGATGTCTGGCGAGCGCCTCGGAAAACGGCAGCGCCTCGATGGATTGTC